GGTATCGAGCAACATGCCTCAATCCTAAAGAATCAAATATGACATCTAAAATTTTCTTTATTGATTGTGGTAACATTGAGTCAGTAAAGCATAAGGATATTAGATCAATTCCCAAAGACTTCATTTCACGTGCAGCATTGGCGAATGTGTGTACAATTGTCAGTAAGTATCAAAGTTGTCTGTGTAAGTTAAAAGGATACAATAATTTTCATATTCAAACTTATCTTGGTTTCTCGTTACAGATTTGGGACCAATAAGAAATGGACAATATTCGGAAGCAATACAAAAAAAATTAGATGAGTTAACACCAAATTTAATCGTCAAAATAAAAATTGTGAAATGCCGCGTGGACGGCGTTTATGATATTGAGTTGCCAGAGATGGTCGTGCCGCGCTTTTAAAACACATGGTCTCATGTCTTTATAAAAGTTTGTAAACAGTGACAGTTGTATATTGTATAGTTTGATTATTTGTCTTTTTTCATTTTATAATTTCAGTTTATTATCAAGTTTTGTTTCTTATACAATCCTTTTATTTCCGTTAATTATGTTATATAAATTTGCGAAGACGTTACCTTATATTCTTTTTTGCTTTTTTTTTCTTTTACCACCGGCTGGATTGTAGGCGCCTTTGACCTTTTTGCAAGGTTATATAGTGCACGGCACTGTTTTCCTGTGTTTCTTTTTTGCTACGAATATTTAGGTTTAAGAAACTTTTGTATTTTCTTAATAAAAAAAATTAACTACAGCATATTTTTCTGGGAAATATTTTTCGCTTGCATATTAACGTCTTTTTCAAACATTACTGCGCTTCTGCATAGAAATCAATAGATATTCTCATGATCATTTTCTAGAATCGAAAATCTTTTAACAACAAAACTAAATTTCGGTTTAAAGAAATATCTCACTACGTGCGAGAAAAGAAGCTCGAAAGTTCTCGCGCGTCGAACCACATTCCGTGAATTTTAATTCGGAAAACATCAACGTTTATCTAACGATAGGCAGATGTCACGCAATCAATGAAAAACGATGACATGTTTCATATGCGAAAAGTAATTCTGAGGGGAAAAAACTTCGAGATTCGACGTAATCGCGTTGATAACACAAATGCGTTAGCTCCACGTTCAGGACAGTTCAGGAAGAGAAAACCCAAGAGAACCGTGAGAAATTATACCCTAAATGGCACATAGACTAGTCGTAACCGGAGAGGATCCTGAGAACGGCTATGCCCGCGATTTAGCTGCGATAGACGATTGAGTAGAGTGGGTAAAAATACTCACTCTACTCAATCGTCTATCGCAGCTAAATCGCGGGCATGGCCGCTCTCAGGATCCTCTCTGCCGGAGGCACCTGGTAACACCATGGGGTCCATGGGTACCACGATCTTCGATTTTGTCTCCGCGTTTTACGTGCCATTTTAAATGCATTTTATAAAAATTATGATTAAAAATTGGAATAATTTAAGATAAAGATATTAGTTTGAAAAAGATATTAAATATAAAAAGCGTCAGGTTTTACAAATAAATGTAAATTTTTTTTTATATTATATTTTGACCTTTTCTCGATCTCTATAACTACATGCGGGACGGCGATAATACGCCTCCATAGTACACAAATTTTATATTGTTTTAAATACACTTTACACATTGTTTGATTCTTTTCCATGCTTTTCCACAGAATATAATGATATACATATGTATATAATTGCGTAACAATGCATTTTACAAAAATAACTAAAAATTGGAATGATTTAAGCTTGAAAAAGATGTTAAAAATGTAAAAAAAGGCATTAGAGATTTTAAATAAATGTGAAATTTGTTTTTTTTTATAATATATTTTGACCTCGTTCTCTTTCTCTCTCTATAACTACATGCGGGCCGGCGATAATACGCCTCCATAGTACACAATTTTATATTGTTTTAAATACACTTTACATTTCATACTTAACATCATTATATCGTAATAAACGGTGTAACGCTCGCGAATATATAATATTTCGTCTTCTTCATCAAAAAAATATGTCTATCTCTGGTATCTAGTACATTAAGATCATTGGTCCCACATGTGGGTCTTCAAATATATAATATTTGCAACATATATTATGACATCTACAACTTAAATTATACCCTCCTGGGCATTTTAATGTCTCTGTTGATACCTTTTAACTTTAAAAAAAAAAAAAAATATATATATATATATAATCTCCGAAAAACAGAAGTCATCCTACACTCCGTTCTTAAAGTCAGGTACATCTCAAATAAACCCGGTAATGTGATCATTTTCTTTTTCTTTTGCGGAATTGTAATTCTTTTATATTACAAAACGTCATTGTTATTCGTTGCGATACGGTCAATAAGTCTTCAGCATATCAAATTTATTATTCAGTTACTACATAATGTACAATTATGACAAAGTTCATTATTAAATCAGAAACTATAACGTTGAGTATAAAATATATCAATGATACGCTGAACTATGCGTATGTCTGTCCTTTTTAATACAATAACTGAAAATTTTCATCATTCAACTGTCATAATCTCTTGAAAGATGTCTTTTTCACAGATTATTAACAAATGTACAAAAATAAGTAGCGCATATTGCTCCTTTTTTGTATATTAATTCTAATGTAAAGGAATTTTTAAACGTCTTATCTTTTTTTTTAATGTAACGTCAATAATAATTCTGTTAAAAAATATGAAATATGACAGTATGAGATTATGACAGTTGATAATTTAATTTTTAGCGACGCTCTCGCAAATGATATTTTTGCGTATACGATAATACAAAGATCTATAAAGGATCAAATAATTCTCAATGATATCTAAGGACCTCTTATTTTCCAAGAATATGAATTCCTAAACGATGGAAACTTTATTAATGAAAATAGAAATATTAATTTTTATATTTTTGACTCTTTGATATGACCTTTGATTTTTTCCTTATTTGTAAACAGGAATATATTTTGATTAATCAATGAGCGATCTCGATCGTGAATATACATAAATTTTCTATATATTCACTTACGATATCGAAGTACAACATATTAAAATCATTGCACAAATTATAATGAAAAAAAATTATTATAAAATCCCCCCCTGAAAAGAAGAAAAATAAATTACTATGTACTGTTTAGCAAAAGTGCCACGGTATTTAAATTTCTGACCGTCGTAGTCAAGGAACTTTGTCGTTCGCTTTAGAGGAAGATTGTTTTTTTTTGCACCACATTTAGATGCACAGCTTGTATGAAACGATCGTAAATACGACAGATATAAATGCTTCATGAAAGCTCTTGGAGGTTGCGTTACGACTGAGAGGGTTTTTTACGTCTTCCGAATAGATTGCTCAATACGGAGCTTCGTCTGTAATCGCGATCCTTCCGATTGCCGCCCGAGCTTTGCTCGCTTTCAGATCCACTCTCCGACGCTCTTCTATTGTCCACTGCGATGTTCGGAGGAGTCGTTTGTGGGGCTGCTGGTGGAGCGACATAAGGCGGCAACGATGTCGGTCTACCGGTGAAAGTACTGTTCTGTTGCTGTACACCCTGTAAAAAAAATATGAATTTATTATTCGGACTTATAGATGAAAGACAGAGAGTTATAGATTTGCAATGACGCTGAGAAATCGTTACGATCATCGTAGCCGTCTTAATTTAAATATAATACACCAAGAAATGTACATCTTGCAAAAAATTGGAGGATGTAACAGTGGTTACAGTTTATTCATTAAAAAATATAAGTTTTTCCCTTTAATTTTTAAAGAATTTAATTTATTTGATATAAATTTGAAAAATAGATGCTCACCTGTCTGATGTTTGGTACATTTCCGTATGCTGTAACAGACGAAAAATATAATTAAGAAATTTTCATTCTATTAAATTAAGATCACAACTTGATTGCAACATTTAATTATAAAATTCAGCTATAACTAAAATAATTGTTATCGTACGATAAACAGTTATTTACAATTGTTATTAAAAAAAAAATTGTAAAGTTAGAAAATCAATGTGCAGACATATCAAAATGCAACATTCAATATTTTTGAAGTGTTCATGAACAAATAGTGGAAATCCGTTAGTATTAATCTTTTGCGATATGTCTATGTGTTTCGGTTAAAGGTTTAATTACACATATAAATGTGTTATAATTGTTTCACGTTTCTATAGCATTTTACATCCCTTGCCAAGCAATTTTTTGCCAATGCAAAAAATTTTCGATGAAATGCGGGTGTAGATACGTGTAAGTGATGAAAACGAAAGTAATAAACGCAAAATGATTGCATGCGATCTTCACATCCATCTTCCTTTTATCGAATGTGAATGTTTTGTAATGACTGACCAGAATCATGAGGAATATTCCATTGAACCGTTCTAGCCGGCGGAGGGGCACTCGATGGCAATGGAGGGGCTAATTCTATAAAACGATGATGAATGTTCACGAATGGTCCACGATCATCGAGTAGAGTCTTCCTAAACCTTTCGAATCTTTTAACTTATATTACGATATACAATGATGTACCTTGATGTTGCGGAGGAAGATCCACACTGCTCTGCCGGTGCCATGTTGGTGCCTCGTTCGATGAATACTGGCCGGAACCGTTATGATTTAATGTTGCGCTTCGTTGCTGATAGACATTGGGCCTTCCTTGTGGCAAGTGGTGTTCCACATCTGGAACATACATTTAATAGCATTTCAAACACTTCTTTACATGAAGATACAAGCTTATAGATTATAATATGTGAATGCTCGGAAAAATTATTAAATAAGACAAGTCAATAACGCAAAATAAATTTTGTTTAAAAATACGTACCGTTGCGCCTGTATTGCACCATATTTTCCGAACTGGGTGTTCGCATAGGGACAGGTGGAGGAGCGCCTCGCGGCGG